GTCATTTGTGGGATTCATGCTTGTGGTGTGTCTCTTGCATCTTGCGTTCCTTGCCACATTTCCCTCAGAGAGTTCACCTCAGGATTTCTTGTAGAGCTGGTTTAGTGGTGACAAATTCTTTCATTTTTTGTTTATTTGGAAAGACTTTTATCTCTCCTTCTGTTCTGAATGACAGGCTTGCTGGATAGAGGATTCTTGGCTGCATATTTTTTCTGTTTGTCACATTGAAGATTTCCTGCCATTCCTTTCTGGGCTGCCAAGTTTCAGTAGATAGGTCTGTCACCACTCTGATAGGTTTCCCTTTGTATGTTAGGTCCCTTTTCTCCCTAGCTGCTTTCAAAATTCTCTCTTTGTCCTTATATTTTGCCATTTTCACTATGATATGTCATGCAGAAGATCGATTCAAGTTACGTCTGAGGGGAGTTCTCTGTGCCTCTTGAATTTCAACGTCTACTTCCCTCCCCAGGTTGAAGACGTTCTCAGCTATGATTTGTTCCAGGACTCCTTTAGCACCTTTCCCTCTCTCTTTCTCTTCTGGCATTCCTATAATATGGATATCGTTCCGTTTGATTGTATCGCTGAGCTCTTGAACTCTTCTTTCATGTTCTTGGATTAGTGCATCTCTTTTTTTCTGTTTCTTCTTTTTCTAGAAGTGTGTCTTCTAAATCACTTATTCTCCTTTCTGTCTCTTCAGTCCATGCACTGGATGCCTCCCGTTTATTGTGTATCTCATTATCGCATTTTTTAATTCATCCTAACTATTTTTAAGCTCCATAGTGTTTGTAGCCATAGTTTCTCTGATGTCCTCCATGCTTTTTTCAAGCCCAGTGATTAATTTTATGATTATTGTTCTAAATTCTTGTTCAATTATTTTGCTTATATCTGTTTTGAGCAGTTCTTTAGCTGTCAATTCTTCCTGGAATTTGTTTGGAGGAGAGCTCTTCCGTTTTGTCATTTTGGTTAGCTTTCTATATCTTGTTAGTTTAAAAAGCTTGTTATGCACTCTGCACCTGTGAGCACTGCTGTACCAATGAAGGCTCTTTGACTTTCCAGGACCTACCCATTCAGAAAGTGTTCTTTGAATAGTATCTCTTGGTCTCTCTTGTTGAGACTTTGGTTATTTTATTTTCCTACTCGTAGTGGTATTTGGGACTCTCCACCATGTGTACTTTGGCTTGTTTCTTGAGGTAGCCCTGGAAAAGAAAACAGACAGACAAACACACAGGAACAAAGGCACACAAACGCACAGACAAATCTAACAAACACGCAAACCGAAAGGGAAAACGAAAAAGAAAAGAGAAAAGAGGGAGGAAAGGCGAATAATAAGAAATAAAAATACATAAAAAAGAAGAAAAGGAAAAAACAAGAAACCCAATAGACACAGAACAGTTAAAGCATGTAACCAGATTTCCCAGCTACAAATAAATAGCCGGGTGTTTGCAGAGCTGGTGAAAGAGCACAGAGACAGAGAGAAATGACAGGGCAGGCATGTAGTGAAATTGGATATGAAATGAGCAGGCAGAAGGAATAAGAAGCTTTTTTCAAAGAGCGAAAGAGTGGAATATGGTTGGAGAAGAGGCGAAAGAAATGATGATGATGATATCCAGAGAAACTATATAGTCTGATTACTCCAGAGAGAAAGAGATGAAAAGGTAGGTAGGTGCAGAATTTACATCCAGAGAATTGCTGGGAGCCGCACTGGCCTCGCTGGATGGCAGTCACAGCAAGGAAATGGCAGTGTTTGCACAGCTCCTGCTGTGAGAAACGAAAACTGGTATCTCTTTCTGCTACTACTGGCTCATGTTGGAAATGAGGCTGCTGGTATTGACCAGGCCTCACAATATTCCATATCAGACCCATATTCCGAACACAGGTACCTCATAAGGAAAAGCATATTCCTGCCTTTACAAAAGAGATTTTTAGATAAAAGCTCTGTGGGTGATTGTAAAAATCCTCTTCCTATGGGCCTTGCAGATCAAAGACAACTTAGCCTGGCCCAAGACAAAGAGCCTAATATAGACTTAAGGAACAAATGGGGGCAGAACTTAAGTTAACACTTACACCTTCTTCTAACTGGTGATGGATGGCAGTCCCTTCCCCAAGGCCTACATCCCACAAACACCCTCCCCTACTGGCAGCTGGGATGAGGATAGATAAGAGTAGCTAACACATAACCCAAAAGCAAAAGGCTAACACATTTAGGGCCCCCGTGGTGTTCACACATTCAGCATCAAATAGATTTCCGCAAACAAACCAGTTCAAAAACATTCATTCTCTTAAGAACCAAACGGAATGACTCCTGGCCTAACTATTTACGACTTAACATATGTTATCCTATTTTTTACTAAGAACATCCTGTTATTTCTTCAGTTGTAATATTCACTCAACTATGACTGGGATAATTCTGGAATTTGTTATCGCAAAAGGCTTCCCATTGTAAAAATTCCTTTCTCTGACCCCATGTTGCTTTTGAACCTTTAAATAAAGACACCAAAACCGACAGGTCAGAGATGCCTGCCTGGTGATCAGAAAGAATCTCGGGGCTCTCTCACTCTCTCTCTCTCTCACGCTGACACCGTCCATCCTTCAGGGACCCCTGCACCTGTTGGAGCCGGCCTCCGACAGAGAATGAATTAAATGTGACTGTTTAAGCAAGTCAGTGACCAGGATTAATCAGGGCAGGGCATCCATGTTGGTCTTGCCCCGGCTCCGGTAAAAAATAAATAAATTAATTAAATTAAATTAAAAAAAATAAAAAATATAAAAATCAAAATTTAAAAAAAAGGAAGAGGGCAGCTCTCTAGCAGGGATGGGCGTGGTTTGATCTAGTGCGATCCGCAGGAGTCCTGCCTTGGTGGTTGTGGGGAGAAGAGTCGCGGCGCCCCAGTCCCTTCTTGAATCAAGGGCTGCAACTCACTTTTTTGGGTGTGTAAACTCCTTGTGCCGGGGGCACAGCCAAGGTAGGCCGTGCTCTATATCCCAGGCCAGGCCTTATTTCCAGATCCCAGTCTGCGTGACCCACTGAAATTGCCGGAGACATAAACTCGCAGGCGCCCCTCAGGGCAGTCCCAAGCCTCTGGCCTTCCCCCTGGGGATTGAGCCTGAAGCCGCTGCTCCCGTCTCCTCCAGGTCGGGTTGGCGAGCGAGGAGGAGCAGTTTCATCCGGGGGTCGCCTGGGATGAGTGCGTCCCGCCCAGGGTCAGCTGGACAGCAGGAAACCGGGTCTTTCTGTGTCCTGAGCAGAGGTTTTTCTCTTCTCCAGTGACAGGGACAGTGTCTTGAGCAGTTTCGGCCACTCTCTTTCCCCTCTAGGACTCCCCACAGAGGAGGATCACCCCCGTCCCTCTGTGTCTCTGGTCCCGGCCCGACTTTATCTTCCCCAGTTCGCACTCACGCTAGAAGGTTTTCTCAGCGGACTCTGTCTCCTTTTCCTCCCAAACTCCTGGATTCTGTAAGGGTTCCTATGGCTTCAGGCCTTCTTCGTGTGAGATATGGGGGCGAGTTCAAAGAACGGAGCTCCCTACTTCTCCGCCACCTTGTCTTCTCCCTCCAGGGATGATTCTATGAGCAAATTAGCTTCTCTTTCCTCCCCCCGGACTCGAGGCAGCTCACCACCGCTCGCCGGTTTATCACTCACCGCAGCTGCACGCAAGCCGGGTTCCCTCCCCTCTCTCTGTATCTCTGGGTCCCGTCCTGCTTTTATCTTCCGCAGTTCGCACTCACGCACTTGTGAGGTTTCCCTCCCAGTGTGCTCTGTCTCTCTCTCTTCCCAAACTCCTGTGGCTCAGTGTCCTATAACTTCAGGCCTTCTCTGAGAGATGGGTGCAGGCGAAATGTACGGTGCTCCCTACTTCTCCGCCATCTTGCAGGATCCCTCAACGACACCTTCATTCTTAAGGTGAACTGAATTTGCTGTACCTTTTCCTGAAAGAGAGGCTGAATGCCTGGACTGGGGAAAAGTGAGCAACTCCTAGTATTAACGGATTATCACTCCTCTGCCAACTCCAGGCTGAAAATCCAGCTTGTTCACTTTCTCCGGGGTTGGCAAACCACAGCCTGCAAGCTACATGCAGCCTGCCACCTGCTTTTATAACTGAAGCTTTACTGGAACCCAGCTCTGCTTACGTATTATGTATTTTGTACGACTGTATTTGTATGCCAGTGACAGAGGGGGTGGTTGTGGCAGAGACTGGATGGCCTGTTCAGCAGAAAATACTATTTGACCCTTTCTTTCTAGAAACGGTGTGTTGACCCCCTACATACTTTCTGATATACTTATCTCCATAAAGGAGTTAGTAGGAAGTTGTATATAAATTTTACTAAGAATCCACAATTTCTACCTTAGGAAAAGACATATAAAAAAGGTAAGAAGTCATGTCTATTGTCAGAAACCCTTTTGGTGACACAAAATTTTGCCCCTTAAGTAAATCCTGATTTTAAAAAAATGGGTGGTGGTGGTGGTGGTAAGAAGACCCTCTTCCCTTGCTGGAACGGGTGTCCTCAAAGGAGTCAGCTGTGGGTTATACAGGAAGACCCCCCTCGGTCATGTAACCACCGCCTCCCCAAGCTCCCACTCAGTCACAATATAAGATACTCCAGCAGTGCTAAGGTGCACACTGTCTGGACACCGAGATTCTGCCCCGAGGCAGAGGTTGGGGACATCTGGATACCAAATACAGGGTTAGCCAGAACACAAAGGGTGTATAAAACCCTCCGAACAGTTCCCAACTCTTGCCGTCGAGAAGATGCTCTCTCATTAAGTGTAAAAAGAATCAGAGTATGGTCTACTCCAGAGAGAGGAGGCATCTCCTCAAACAAGTTTCTTTGTTTCCATACTTCTAACTTGGTCACGCTAATTTTGAACATAAAAAAATCTTTCCAAATGGTTAGCATTTAGCTATGTTGACAAACAGTTCCTCATGATATTCACCCAGATAGAATACCGTTTCCTAACTATTTTGAAACAGATTTCAACTTAGGACAAAGCACAATAAGCAGGCTTTATACAGTAAATAAACTTTATTGATTTGTTTTTCCAAGATGACATTGCCAACAGTCACAGATCTGCATACAATAAGTACTGAGTATTTACAATTTACAGTAGTATTTTTTCCTCTGAAAAATATAAGTACAAAAGCTAAGTAAACAATGAGGTACCGCTGTTTGGATTTATATCTATAGCTTAAAGAAATAGTCTTTAGCAAATATTCAACAAATCAATCTGGATAAAATACTCAATTAAATGCTTTAATTTATCAGAAAAAATCCACTAAGTTTCACCTCAAAATGTATTGCACAAGTCTTTAAAAAAAATCACCCTAAAAATAAATAGGAAAGGCAAGCAGTTCTTTAAAAAGAGGGACAAAAAGAATGGAAGAAAGGAACATTAAATGAGCCCGTAAGTCAGGTTGAGTTATTCAAAATATCTCTTTAAACAACATAAAACTCTTCCCAACAAAAAAAAACTGAAGACAAAAGAATAAACTATCACCATTTCTCCACTGATATAATCGATTTGAAAGGCAGTCTGCAATATTATCTGTGGGCCAATGTCAGATTTTTCTTGGTCTTTGGCTCCATAAGGGGCCCCAAATAGCAGCTCGCTTCTCAAGGAGGCAAACGCGGACAGCCCTCCAGGCTTGCCCCAAATCACCACCCTGTTTCTTTAGGACGATGATCGGAGCCAGGACTGGAAAAGAAGAAAGGAAAAAGGATAAAGTTAAAATGAAATTATATTCTATGGTCTAGGGAATGAAGTAGAAATAATCTAAATATTAAATCCTAAAAGAAAAAAAGTCTCCTAAAAATTAACGTTCTCGGAATGATCTGACCTATAGTCTGTGATCCTGGGAACAGGATGTTTCAGTGAAATTTGGAACGGCCACCTTCCACCAGGCTGTACGTGAGCAGCCAGGAGGAGGTGCGCGGACTCAGCAGAACCCCACAAGGACCCCGCCGCTAAGATTCAAAGAGGACGTCCCGGACCTTCCCTCGTCTCTGATGTGCTGCTGTCTCTACATACTGCCGTTCTCCCAGGATGACATGCATGGCAGCAAAGGATCGGAAATGAAAAACTCAATTTTAAAAACTAAAAATGTGGAGAGAAACAACGGTAATGAGTGATTCCTAATAAGGTTTCTCTGAGTAAAATACTAAAGCCAGTAGTCTGGTTAAGTTAAAATGCCACAAAAATAAATTACCAAATAAGATTAATAAACTTTTTATAGATATTTAGCGGAAAGAGAAAGTTTTAAAGTCTTCTCCATTTGTAAATGAAAAATATACTCCACTGACACTTGTGATGTGCTCCCCACAGTGTATCATGTATCAAACCTGCCCAAGATCATGGCGGTCCTAGAAACCTAGAGATGAGAGAAAGACCATCTGTCATATTTAGATTCCTGTGTCAGTTAGTATTCTGAAACTCAGCTTGTGCTGTTGTGGGAATAGAAATTCACGCACGATTCAATAATGCTGCACAACGTCAATGTCATGTAAGACCAAAAAAAAAAAAAAAAAAGCTGGGAGTACATTTCTAGTTTAAAAGAGACTAGAAGAACATGACAATGACATGTGATGTGCGATTTCTGAGTGGATCATGGAATTTAAAAAATTATGAAAGACAGGGGCGCCTGGGTGGCTTAGTCGGTTAAGCGTCCGACTTTCGCTTAGGTCATGATCTCGCGGTTCATGGGTTCGGGCCCCGCGTCGGGCTCTGTGCTGACTGCCAGCTCAGAGCCTGGAGCCTGTTTCGGTCTGTGACTCCCTCTCTCTCTGACCCTCCCCTGCTCACACTGTCTCTCTCTCTCCTAGAAATAAATAAAACATTAAAAAAAAAAATTATGAAAGACATTATTTGAAAACCTGGAAAAATATGAATATTAACTATATACTAGAGAACAGTATTATGTTAAATTTCCTGAGAGTGATAATTGTATTGTTGAGTTTGTAGGAAAAAGTCCCTTTCTTTAAGATATTTGCTAAAGTATTTAGTTTTCTTTGCAAGTAACTTGTCAAATGTGTGCAAGCACAAGTGGGGAGGGTATGTATGGAGAGAGAGAGAGAGCAAGAGTGAGAGAGTGAGTGAGAACATTCTGCAAAAGGTTAACAACTGGTGAAGGGTATACAGATGTTTGCTGCACTAGTTTTATAAATCTTATGTTTGAAATTTTTCAAAATAAAAGTTGAGGAGATAGTCAATTGATCAATCAACAGAAATGCTACATGGTCTACAGTCCCAGTGACAAAAGACAGTGTTGAAATGCAATAATACAAAGACAAGCATGATGCAGTGTTTACAATATTAAAAAAAGGGAAAAGTTAAGGGATTTACAGGGCTAAAGATAGTTCCAGATAACTACTAAGGCACGTTAATTGATATATAGTAAGATCAAAACGAGACTCAAAGGTAGGCATAAATGATTTTTAAAGTGAAAAGGTTGAAAAAGAAAAGCTGTGTATTGGCATTTTAAACCTTAATACCAATAGTTGAATACTAGCTGAATTAACAATCACAGAGAATCTTTATTTCAATTATAATTAAGCTCTATTAGTCACAATCCAGCTTATTTGTGATTTGTAAAAATTCCAGCAGAGTCTGAGGCAAAGATGTCCTCTAAATTTTAGGGGGTGCCAAGTCAAGCTAACAGCATGACTAATACACAGAGGCCGTGGCAGGGGTATTTAAATGGTGAAGATCTATGGCTGTGTCCAAACAATTTAGATGCCTTCACTTCACTGTAACAGTATGTTAAGTACAAACAGCACATGCAGTTGAAGCAAGCTGCCCAAGGGTCTCCTGGGGACAAATCGTTATCTTGTTATATGGTATGATCCCCGGAAGCAATAACGTTTTACTTATTTTAAATCAACTTTACTAGTCTTCAAGATTTCAGACTAGCCTTGATAAGTGGGCCTTAGAATGTTTTTAAAATCTGGGGCACCTGGGTGGCTCAGTCAGTTAAGCATCCAACTTCGACTCAGGTCATGGTCTCATAGTTTGTGAGTTCGAACCCTGCGTCCGGCTCTGTGCTGGCAGCTCAGAGACTGGAGCCTGTTTCAGATTCTGTGTTTCCCTCTCTCTGCCCCTCCCCTACTTGCACTCTGTCTCTCTCTCTCTCTGTCAAAAATAAATGAAAAATTAAAAAACAAAAACAAAAAAAACCCCAGTGTTTTAAAATCTGGTTTCATGAAATGTATCACTTCACTTCCATTTAGAAAGTGATTTTTCATTTCTCTGTCACAATCTTTATTAATTTCCAAGACTATTCTTGGGAAATAAAAACAAAAAAGTTTATAAAATGTATAATTTTTTCGAATTAATACAATTTCAAAGAGCAATTTTAAACTTTCAATTACTATTTAAAGAAGTAAAATTTCCTAAAATTATAGAACTCTTCTGGTGCTGGCGATTATTAATCTATAAAACAAAATTAACAGAAAGTATCTATATTAACACATAGCATAATCATGTATTCATTAAACAAAAGAGCAAAAGAATTGCAGCAAAATGGTTAGTAGCATGCAATACATTTGATTTTTGCACAAAAGACACAAGACATTTTTCTTCACTCACCACATGCTAACTAAGCACAGACTGATGGTTTACTCAGAAGATACCACTGCGAGGTGAAGTATACTATAAGCCAGGAAGAAAAAAAGCTTATTGGGTTAGCTTTAAGACTTAATATAACATAGAGATTATATGTGTATATGAACTTCAAAGGATTAAACAGAATGTACTTAAATTTTTCTCAAATCTCTCCCAAATCAAGGGAACCTAGGCAAAGTATAAGGAATTTGTAATAACTCCCACCCATCCTAAGAAAATATAATAATTTGTAGCTGAGATTTCATTTGCAACTTTAATTTAAAAATGTAAAGAACATACTTAAAGATAAATATATAACAGATTAACTGGGTATGATTATTGGCGTTATAAAAATATTTCTTTCATAATTCCATTAAAATACACATAAAATCTGATTTATATAATTTCAATTTACCATCAAAAATTTGGGGGGAAATGGTGATGAATGTGAATACAGTATGTCTATATGTTGAATTATCGTTCCTAATATATGTCAGTTTATCACTGAATAATTTGCTGGAATGGTTTCAGGAATGATAACGCAAAGTGAAATTTCCATTCAAAGGGACCCAATCTCAAACACAGTTTTTACTGTATCAACCTTCTTAAATTAATTCTTTGTCCTATCTAAAACGGCCATAATCCAAGATTATTAATTAGCTTTCTGGTTGGTTAAAACAGCATCAGTAAAACAAAAGAGGGGGGATTACTTACAAAATCGAGTCTATTTTTAGTATGACCAACCTCAGAAGCATCATTTTATTTATCTTATTTAATGGTGCAGTTAGTAAGAAGTAGCGAAATCAAAAGACAAACTAGAAAATAATATTTGCAGCACACACAACACAAAAAGGTCAATATCGTCTTGAGAAACTTGCAGAAGTATGCAAAATGCATCACCTGTGTCGTGCTTGTATGTACTGAACAACTGCAAACAACCTAAGTGTCCGTGACAGGAAACTTGTGAACTAAATTGTAGGACATCTATGTGATCATACAATTGGCCATTAAAAAGAATAAAGTATATCAATTTGTAATGAATAAAATAAAATAAAGTAAAAATGTTAAGTGAAAAAAAGAAAGCTGTTGCATTCTGCCATTTTTTATAAAATAACTGATTAAAAACATAACTATAAATATATATTTATAAAGCTTAGAAACCCTGGGGATATTCACTAACTCCTAACGAAGATGATCGTGGCATGGTGGGAAGTGTTGGAAGGCTGAAAACACGAAGGTCTCCCTCTCTGTGTCATATGATTCTGAATCATTTGCAATGTTTTGGTTTTTTTTTTTGGAATGATCACACATTACGTGATTCTAACAAAATCAAGAGTCAAACTACTTTTGAGACAACAAATGTGTACTTTATCTGGACAGTTTTTCTTTTCACTTCGCAGCAGTTCTTCCTGCACCTGTTTCCTGATCCACCTTCCGGGTACCCACTAAGCCAGTGTGAAGGTAAGCCTCTTCTGGGATGGAAAACCATTCTATCTAACAGTGTTGAAAAGCTCGGATGAATTTATTAACTCAGAAAAGATTTTTAAAATTCCAACCAAAGGGACAACATGAAATACAAGACTGGTCAAGGGCAAGGATGGATCAGAACTTGACACATCACAAGGGATCAATGCAAAGAAAAGTAAAAAGCAAAGGTAACAGAAAACTAGCTTTTAAAAATGACTATAGAGTGGGTGCAGAATGAAAATAAGCCAAAACTCCTCCATCAGAAGAGAAAATTTTTCTTTCAACGATGCCATCAGGAAAATAGCCGTCTAGGTGAACACATTGGTTTGCTAGCACTCTGAAAAGGAAAATGCATTTCTAGAAAGAATTTTTAGCAGAGATGTCTATATAACAAAAGAACCTCTCAATGTCAAGAGATGATTTAGCACCTGATTGAAATAAACCTTCTTAATAAAACCCCCCTAATAACACCCCCCTCTAACAAACCCTGGCGGCGTCTAGGGTGGTTTCTCCAGCACAAAGCAGACAAGTCCAGGCCTTTGGTACTCACTCTTGCCCCTGCCCTGTTACTCCAATGCCCAGTCTGCCCTGCTCTTTGAAACGGCCTAAACCATCACAAAATGAAATATGTGTGAAATATCGGCACGAGAAGCTAAAAGCCGAGAGAAGGGAAAAGCCTGTTCTCACAAAGATGAGAGAGTGTGCATTTGGTATGTGTGTTTTCTTTTGAACTTCTGCCTGTTGTATATAAGGCAATTTTTTCCAACTTGAAACAAATCTAAAGCTTTAAAACCTACAAATAATTGAGAACTTTAGAAGGAAAGAAGCCTTAGGAATAGACCAGTCCACTGTGCTCATTTTACGAGCAGGGGCCAGACCCAAGGAAAGGGCCTGCCCCAAGTCTACCAGAGTCGGGCTGCTGAGATCCACACTCATCACTGCAGTGCCGCTCGCTCAGGTGGGGACAATTTCTGCACTGACATCATTCCTGTGAAATGCCCTGCCTGTCCCACTGGCGTCTTTAATGACTGCTTTCGCACGTTAACCCTAACTCACCGTCCTACGCCTCCTTCCCTAGGAAAGACTAACCCTACACACACGTGCCTCTCTGGTAGCTACGGGACCGTCCCCTCCACCCCATCTCAGAACCCCGGGGCAGGCACAGTCCTCTGGCCTCCCAACAACACTGACAAGATGATGCTCGTTTTGTGAAGAAACAGAGGCTCTGAGATTTGTCAACGAAGGAAACAGGATTCCTTCTCTATACACTGCAGCCTTCAAATAAACCAGAACCTAACTGTCTCTACAGCTGAATCTTACTTGACAGATAACAGCTTCTCATCTAAGAAATGTAATCTTGAAATTAGGTTAAACTCTGAAATCACTTATTGAGGAATAAGTGCTGTGATCTAGAATGAGGGTTTTCAAATACAGACTGTAAAACTCACTGAGGGGAGGGAAGAAAAATAAAAAGGGGCTGCACTGAGAAAGACCTTACCAACAGTCGCAGAAACCCTTGATCAGTGCCAAAATCATCAAAGTCACGAACCAAAGGTTTTAGACTGTCTCCTCCTACAATACCCACTTCGTACCGCAAGCACTCATGTGGCTGTACGCCGTCAGCTCTAAGCTCCCACTCTCTCTCAAGCATCCCAAACATTAATGGATGGTGAGACAGCTCTGAAATGTGTTTGGATTTGTTTTGGTTTACTTTTACCAGCTTTTCAGCCTCCATAGCTAAAAATAACAAAGCATTCAAGGTTGCTGATTTTAAATACAATATAGCTCCACATTTAGAACAAATTACAGAAAAGATCCACATGGAACATACATTTGAAGCTAATGTGACTAAATAGTTTGTAAGTGTTCACTTAATAAACTATTGAAAGGGTTTGTTTTCTATACATTCATATATCTTTCAATTGGAAAGATATTTTATACATTTACATTGAAAAGATATAAATATCTTTGTATTGGCTACCATAATTATCTTTCTATTAGAAAAGGAGAAGTCACTTTTTTTGCAGTGGTTTTCCTAATCAGCTATGGACATTGGACAGGGGTAAGAAATACGCTGTAATTTCAAGAGACCTGTTCAAAGACAATGATTCTTATTGCTCATTTTGTGAATGACAGCAATCTTAAAGGCAAATGTGTCTCTTCGTTCAACTTTCTCAATCAACAACAATCTTAATTTTTCATCAAATATAAAAACAATCATGAATCACCATCAAGTACCAAGAATCTAAAACCAACGAAGAGTGACTTAAATTGATTTATAAGCCATTGATGGGCCTCACTCAATGCTCATTATAAGTTATTTGATATTTCCTAACCATCTACTCTTATTATTTGAATCACATTACTTAGACACATCTTAGATGTATCTTGTATTCACGCATGATGAATGGGTGCTACCTCCTCCCCACTAAAATTAAAGGCCACAAGGTCAATAACCATCATCTTCCAGGTCTTCAAATTTCCTCTAAAGGTCACACCAAGCAGAAGAGTAGGTGATTGCTGACAGATCTCATTCATTAAGCAGAAGATAATGATAAATAAGACTCTGCTTAAAGTAGTGGTGGAAAGAGTGATACTTTTTTCCTGGGCAAGTCAGCCTCTGGGACAAGGAAGGATTATTTCAGGACGGAACAGTCACCATTTCATCCCTATCCAGAATGAATACCACTTTATTCAGGAATGAAGAGTGTAATTTTTTTTCAGATTTCTTTTTAGTGAAACTAAAAAAAAATTTTCCATCTGCTTTAAAAGGTTTTTTTTTTTTTTTTTTAAACAAGGTTCACTATTTACGTGTATCGATTCAATTAGTTTCCTTCAAGGCAAACCAATCTAAGACTGCATGTGTGTACGGGGTGAAGGGGGGTGTTTTCCACCATATCTGCCATAGCCATGATATAGGACGAATCTAAACTGTAAAGCGAATCCTGATAAATTGTAGCCCAACAATTAGAGGAGAGTTTGCCAAACCCCAACATCAAGACTGTAAAGAGGCCATGGGAGAATGAACAAAGGTACATTAGATCATTTAAAAATATTTTCTTAAACAGGCCATAATGACAGACTCATTATAAGAGTTTTATTTTCACAAAGGCAACTTCAGTGAAGAGAAAAACTTCTCTGAGCAACTACATTTTAGAACTGTTTGCTGGAATTTAAAACAACATTCTATTGATGAAGGGCATACATTATAGTGACATGCTTCGTATAAGAAATATGTATAACCAGAGGGGCACCTGAGTGGTTCAGCTGATTAAGTATCCAACTTTTGGTTTTGGCTTAGGTCATGATCTAACAGTACATGAGATCAAGCCCTGTGTAGATTCTGCACTGACAGTGTAGAGCCTGCTTGGGATTCTCTCTCCTTCTCTCGCTGCCCCTCCCCCACTTCTCAACATAAATAAACAAACATTAAAAAAATGTATAACCAGAAATAATTACAGAGGTATAACAATGTTTTTCAGGCCACTAGATACCAGGGAGGAATGTTTTCCGAAAAAGTCTTAATGTTAATCAAAATAATTGCAACTGGCTCAGAAAACATACACTCGGTATGTGACACAACATGCAATAAAGTACTAAGACAAAGGTCAGGGGTGCTGTGATGACCTCTGAGAAAGCAAGGAAGAGTAGGTGCAGATGTGCCTGAGGCACGGGGATCCCTTCAGGACTGGGCCCAGGGTAAGGGCTTCAGAAGAGAGAAGTCACACCTGGCTGGCTCAGTCAGTAGGGATGCAACTTTCTAAAATTTTAAGTAGGCTCCACGCCCAACGTAGGGCTTGAACTCATGACCCTGAGATTAAGAGTCACATGCTCTACCCACTGAGCCAGCTCGGAGGCTCTCTGGGATGCAACTCCAGGTATCTGGCCTGGAGAAGAAAAGCCTTCCATTCAGGCCACTGACAGATTGTTTTGGCTGAGTTCCAGAGGTAAGAACCAGAACAAATTGGTAGCCACTACAAGGAAGGAAGATCGGGGCTCAAGATAAGCAAGAACTTTTGTTAAGAGCACAGTCTGCTGAGCTAAGATAGGACGCTTCGGGAGGTAATGATTCAGTCCTCCTTACTGGGACAGTCAGACACAGGCTAACCCATCCCTAGGGAGAAGATCTCTGCTGGCTTCGGTAAGGAGAGAGAAGAGAACAGCAGTGCTGAGATCATAAAGCAGCAGGACGTGGACGGTGCCGCAGGCTGCCAGCAAGACAAGAGCAGGAAGGAGGAAGAGAAAGCTGGAGCAAGGGCTCACAGTTCACAGATCTCCCACTCTGCTCTGAATGGATCTCTTCTTACTGCATTACTGGCCCAGGGCAACAAGAAGTCAAGCGTGGGGATTGTGCATAATCTATGAAGTGTGTGTTTATTTCCTTCAATCACAGCTGACTTCGTACAAAGGTTTCTAATAATTCGATTACCTACATTTATTTCCCTTGCCGGGTATGTCAAAAGCTCAAAAACATGTACATCCTTTCACTCAGAATTACTGTACTTGAAAACAACCATGGAGGATAAGGAAATGTAACACAGAACATCTCACATCCTGGTGTGATCTGATTAAAAATTATTACTGGATATACCAGGATAAATGCCTTTTCTGTCTTTTCCGTAAATAGCCTAGGTTCTGGAAATCCCAGATAGCAGATATGGGTGTCAACCTCATAAATGCTATTGAAAAAGGCTGTTCTTTCCTTGAGGATACCAATTCATATTTGCCCTCGGTTAAACTTTATCAATGTAAATTCACTCTCGTGTTTTAGGCTATGGTACAATAAAAAGGAAACATTTAAAATGTCTTTTAGCAACTCACAATCTCTGTAAATGAAGCAGACTGTAAAGAGATGAGATAAAGCCGTCTTCTATCCGGAGCCCACTTTTAAAGCTTACCATTAGCCGGGCATCTTCTCTTTCCAAAATCTTCTGAGTCTGCTCATCAGGGAACTTCAGGACAGTGGTTATAACCTTCGCCATGGTCTACAAGAAAAACAAGAGACGATCACAGACAGTGAAGCAGATGATGTCTCACCCATTCTGACATGTTCTGCTGGTGGATTCTTTAGTGTTCTCAATGGAAGCCACGACCAAAGAAGTATGATGTGAAGATATTAGTCAAGGAAATCACAGCCAACACTAGAATTTCAATTTAAAAGGACTCTTCACAATGCCTGGGTTGGTATTATTTCAAGAAGATGCAATTACAATAGCATGAAGCTATATAAAGTTCTACTGCTCTTGGCCCTTTATCTTATTAAGATGAAACTTTATTACTCATTCATTTTATAAGGCTTTTTATTTGTAGAAATCTATCTAGAAAGTAATGTATTGCCAAGCATAAGATAATCAGAAGTTCAGCTTTAACTAAATCACATCATATATCTCATAAACATGGGCTACTGCATGAACATGAACATGCTTAGTAGGTACTTTTTACGACATGCAGCACATCAGCCTAATAGGAATACAAATTACGTTTTAAATAAACACAAAATGTTTTGTTTGGTAGAAAACATGATGAATCAAAACATTACACATGGTGGCTTGCAAAACAAGATCATAAATTGTGCAGATCTAAATGAATATACCGTAAGTCAGACTGTCACCCAAAAGCTCGTGGAAAATTCTCCTCAAAGGTTGAAATTCCCTATTTTGTATCAAGATGAGATGTTTTGAGGGAGACAGAGAGGAAAGAAGATACCTTATGAAATAAGATACACTCAAGAAATAGGTAGGATAACAAGTTCAGCACTTACATACAAATTCAGGTGCCAGTGCCCTCCCCGAGGGTGCCCACAAAGGATGGGTGGCAGGGACACCGAGGGAACTCACTCTAATGTTCTTTGTTCATGGTTACACAGGCTCTGTGTGTGTGTGTGTGTGTGTGTGTGTGTGTTTGTGTGTGTAGGGGATGGGGCTGGGGACTACAGAAGGTCACTGAGGAAAAGATGACATAACAATAAAAAAATTTTACATTATTCACATCATTAGAAAAAAGGTAGAATTATCTCCAGAAGGGAAAGAAACTAATAATTTAAAAATTTTTATTATGTGCTAAGCCGAGGCCAGGCACTTTACATACTTCTAATATTTATTTCAACTAAGAGACCAACTAATACTGCACTTCAATCACAGACCCATATACAGCAAGATTTCGGCACCCTTCCTTCCTTTTACCTTCGCCTCTGCCATTCTGAGGGTCAAAACAAAAACAAAAACAAAAACATTTAAATTCTTGGAGAATTCCAAAGGCATTTTACAAAAACCCTCATCCTTTAAACTGTATTGCCTAGACAGAAGAGAATCTTCCACATTTAAACCGAAATCTAGAAACTAAGCATATATGTGGCATTAAATGGCAAGAGAAATAAGAAGTGGTTAAGTTGCAGTGTTCTTTTTATTAACACTCTGATGCAATTTTAAATGGTTTTTGGCATACTGTCTATGAAGACTGTTTTTAGGAAGTAACAAATACCTAAAATTTAGGGACTCATGATTATAGGGAATATTTCTCTAATTTCAATAGCTTGTAAGGTTCAAAGTACCCACGAGCCCATTTATATTCACTATGAAGCACACGCATGCACATGTAAGCATGTCTGGCAAAAAACCCCAGAACTGTGGCTAGTTGTCTCTTCACATTTCTAAACAATGTTCATGAGAAAGCCACCTCTAAATTCACCAGTGATCCTGAATTTACATCAGATTACCCAGTAAAGACTTAAAGCTCTTCCCTGGCTTGACAGAAAACACTTAAATGGGGAAGCCCAGGCTGTCTGCCTGTCAGACCATCTACTCTATGTACAACATTCTCAGGCCCTGGGAAGTAAGGAAAAGTTCAAATGAGCCACCTGGTTTAGAGGCTGTGTCTCCTGCCAAGTTTTCTTTAAGGAGAGGCTTTACTAAAAGGTTAGAATGAGAAACGCTTTCTACTGGAAGGGAGAACAGGCTGAATTTTAGCGTCCATAACAGCAGGGGGACCAAAACCCGAGAAAAGGAAGGTGAAGGATGAGAGAAGCCCCATACTGTAAGAATGGGTGTTCTACTTCTTAAATAAGTCATCTGCCTCATCAAATAAGAAACTCTGGCAAAAGCTGATGAAGGAACGTAGGTGGGATGACACACATATCCTACTGGACAGGGAACAACTGCAGATGAGGGTCAGAGCGCAAAGGCCACAATCCACGCTGGCTCATTCTAAAGCCACAACCTGGTCTCCATTTCAAATTCTTTGTTACTGTGTACAAATTAAGGAAAGCAGTGAAGGCTGTGTCTAAAACCAGCTCTGATCTTTTCAACCTCAGCTCAAGGGCTAGCCATCCCCCAACAGCTACAGGTAAAACCTAGAAAACATTCCAGCTCTTCACACTCTGTGCAGCCCTGAAAGGAGTCAGGTCCAGCACACGGGTCCAGTGTTCCAGGTGGACCAGACTACCTGTTCCAAAACCCACTCAATTTTCTGCCTTGGGCCTTCTGTCTAGGCTTTCCTTCCCATCTGAGCTCATCTATTAAAATCAAACCACACCTCCAATACCCCCATCCCACTTCAAAGCGCAGCAGATACACCTGCTTCTCCAAGATGTGCCCGTGACCTTCTCACAGGTCAACAGAACTCTGTGCCTCTCTTAACAGCCCCGACTACATTCTGCATCGTGTTATACTTAACTGCGAACAGCTCCACTTTCTTACTATAAACTCCTTAAAATCAGGGATAGTGTCAAATCTCATCTTTTTATTCATCATGGTGGTAAACAGAAGGCCACATGTAGTGCTCAATAAATATGCCATAAACTAAGCTGAATATCTGCTACCGATTTTCTGTATTTACCTGTAAACTGTGATGGCACGATGACAGACTAATCATTTGTAGTAACCAGATGCACCGAATGCTGCAGACAAGAGACCAGAGAGAGTGCTCCTCAGCATGGGCTCCCCAGCAGGTAGGAGACAGGGCTGCCTGTGCCTGAGGACAGCCCTTCCAGCTGTTTCCTAAGGCACAGCCTCAAACTAACCGCACGACCCTGAGAGTACAAGCTTGCACGAGGCACATCTCATGTTTGTGCTGGGTCTTTCCTTAGGAGGACTCAGATTCTGTAGGGCTCTCAGCCTTCACAGTTCACAGCGTCCAGAAGGCACGCTTTCAGGCGGGTAAGTGATTTATTTGGCAGCACTGGGATCACAGCTTGATATTCACAAATGAACCAATATAGACAAACTTCTGAGAGGCTTTTTTTTTTTTTTTTAAAAGGTATACCCTTCTCCCTCCCCTGCGATAACAAGGTGACATTACATTATCTACCCCACCTCAAATACAGGCTGGTCTCCAATAAAGCTTTAATAGAAGGAAGCTATTATTTCATTAGCTTTATTTTTCAAAAGATGAGAAAATTAGTTTTAGCTGTTCTTTAATTTTAAAAGAGTCCTTTAAGGGGGAAAAATACTGAATCACTGAGAATTAATATACCCTCTGTGTTACTTGTTCAGGGTCACACTAGTTATTACTTTAATTTGAGACTATTTGATACAATGCAATGAGATTTCTATAGGTATTATGGATTAAAATGACTTATATTCCTATAACTCCTAGTGTGTAGCAGAATCTACAATACATAAGTTCATAATATTCTTTTATGAGATTTCTTATGTCCTTACTTTTTAGGCTTTTAATCTACCTGCCAAATTAATCCCCAAACTGGCTTAGCACTCCTTGACTTAGTAACCCCCCCAGAGACCCATATTAAAACATCGATTGCTTCTAAAAATGGAAAACTCACGATCCCATTCTCAGCCAACGTATATGGACAACATAAAAGTTTATGAAGGTAAAAAGTTGAAGCAATGTCAGAAGAGAAATTGCTTTAAATGAAAAATCTGTTTGAGGTAAGCCTCATGAATTTCTCTAAATACATGGTTGAATTAAACTCAAGATATATTTACCAAAAGTCCAACATAAGGCTCTTTTAAAAATACTGCAGGGGATACAAACAAGAAAAAGACAGACTGTACACTTAAGAACCTTAAAATAAATTCAGCATTCCAGAAAACTAGTTTAGCCAAGCATTATTATTACTTATATGATGTGGTAATTTTATTATTTTTTAAATTTTAGTTTTTACATTTATTTATTTTTGAGAGACAGAGCATGAATGGGGAAGGGGCAGAGAGAGAAAGAGACACAGAATCTGAAGCAGGCTCCAGGCTATGTGCCTACTGTCAGCACAGAGCCCGACACGGGGCTCGAACCCACGAACTGTGAGATCATGACCGGAGCCAAAGTCGGATGCTCAACCGACTGAGCCATCCAGGCGCCCCTATATTTTAATGCGTCATAATTTTAATGACTGGTATTCCACTTGTATAGGAATGATTTTCTCATCGTAACCAAATGCCCCTAAGTAGTCATTCTTAATTATGACTGTTTCCAATACTTCCACATGATCCTGAAGCTTCCATGAAAATGAAATCTACCCTAAGATTTAAAGTAAAAAAAAAAAAAAAAATAGCCACATTTTACAAAATATTAAGTCAATGACGTTTCTATTTTTAGTAGTTAGCATCATCTGACAGAACTTTTAAATTAATATTTTATAACTGTAACAAATGTAAGCAAGATCTGCCAAATCATTTTTGTAAACTAAGAACTATAACACAATTATCTACCGCATAGTAGCATGTGTGGTCTGCTAACAGTAAAATATGGCATCAACATGTGTATTAAAGAATTAGAAGTGGGCACTTTTCCTTTTAAATAAGCCACATTCCAAATCACCAGAAATTATTTGTACCTTAGTCTCACGACCCATCATATACTCAAAAAGCACTTTCCGCAAATACTCAAACTCGGTTGGTTCTCCAAAGAGTGAGACATCAGTATGGTACAAATTGCCACCTGTCAGATAAAAAACAAAACAAAACAAAACAAAAACAGATCAAACTGTAAAGAAAATCCAGATCAACTACTTATTATTTAGATACCAGACAAACCAACGTACAACTCTTATATTAATTATATTGTACTGTATAGTATTATACATACATACATAAAGCATTCCAATGGTATATTTCCCTTGGAAGAGAAAGTTAGAATTATTATAGCAATTTTATTTCTCCAATCTTTTACTTTTCCTCCTCTTCCTTCTCCTTTTGGCATGGCAATTTTAAAAGACTAGACTTAGGAAATACAAAGATTCCTTAAAACTGGTATTTCTTACCTCTCAATATTCTGCCCATTGGCTTCAGATATTCCACAATGAGTGAAACTGACAATTTTTATTTCACTCAGAACTTATTATCTCAGTATAGTATTCTAATTTTTCTAGTATTCCAAACCTAAAAGCACTTAAATCAAATTTTCAAAGCTCTTTTGAAACACAGGATAGATTAACTCGAAAACACATGAAATACGGATGCCATTATAGTGGTTTTCAAATATTTTGATTCGACCTCTTAAAGCCTGTCACAAAAAGTTATAGTTCATCTGTAAATCAAGCCCCATTTCAGTCTGAAAATAAACAATACTTGGCAAAGTATTGGGAACTGGCTGTGTGACCACAACGCCAGCAAGCCTGGCAAACCCGGGGACCCCAGCGCACGCCGGTGGGTGTGCGGTGTCAACTCTGGCCCCACTGTCCATCCGCTAGTGGCCATCCCCGCCCTGGTCTATTGAAGCTGGCACGCGTACTGTCAGCTGCGCGTTGCAGTGAGACTGAAGAAGCCGTCTTTGCCTCCTCCCAGTTCTGCGGGCGAAGCCCAGAGACAGGTACTGGAGAGCAGGCGGCATCCCCAGCGGCAGAGGGTGCAGGGCTACCTCAAGAAACAAGCCAAAGTACACATGGTGGAGAGTTCCAAATACCAATAAGAGAAGGGAAATAAAATAGCCAAAGTCTCAACAAGAGAAACCAAGAGACACTATTCAAAGAACACTTCCTGAACAGACAGGACCTGGACAGTCAAAGAGTCCTCTTTACTACAGCAGCACCCGCAAGGGCAGACTGCATAACAAGCTTTTAAAATTAACAAGAGATAGAAAGCTAACCAAAATGACGAAACAGAAGAACTCTCCTGCAAAGAAATTTCAGGAAGAAATGACAGCTAGAGAGCTGCTCAAAGCATATATAAGCAACATAACTGAACAAGAATTTAAAACAATAGTCATAAAATTAATTGCTGGGCTTGAAAAAGGCATGGAAGACATCAGAGAAACTATTGTTACAAGGACTATGGAGCTTAAAAATAGTTCTGATGAATTTAAAAACGCTATAAATGAGATGCAAAATAAAATGGTGTCCAATGCACGGATTGAAGAGGCAGAAAGGAGAATAAGTGATTTAGAAGACGCAACTATAGAAAAAGAGATAAACTGATCCAAGAACACAAAAAGAGAGTTCGAGAGCTCAGCGATACAATCAAATGGAACAATAGCCATATTATAGGAACTCGAGAAGAGGAAAAGAGAGGGAAAGGTGCTGAAGGAATCCTGGAACAAATTATAGCAGAGAACTTCCCCAATCTGGGAAAGGAACCAGACACTGAAATCCAAGAGGCACAGAGAACTCCCCTCAGACGTAACTTGAATCAATCTTCTGCACAACAAATCATAGTGAAACTCGTAAAATATAAGGACAAAGAGAGAATTCTGAAAGCAGCTAGGGCCCTAAAAGGGCCCTAACATACAAAGGGAGACCTATCAGAGTGGTGACAGACCTATCTACTGAAACTTGGCAGGCCAGAAAGGAATGGCGGGAAATCTTCAATGTGATGAACAGAAAAAAATATGCAGCTAAGAATCCTCTATCCAGCAAGCCTGTCATTCAGAATAGAAAAGTCTTGGGGCGCCTGGGTGGCTTAGTCAGTTAAGTGTCCGACTTTTGCTCAGGTCATGATCTCGCGGTTTGTGGGTTCAAGCCCCACGTCGGGCTCTGTGCTGACTGCCAGCTCAGAGCCTGGAGCGTATTTCAGAGTCTGTATCTCCCTCTCTCTCTGACCCTCCCCTGCTCATGCTGTCTCTCTCCTAGAAATTAAAAAAAAAAAAAAAAAAAAAGAATAGAAAAGTCTTTCCAAATAAACAAAAAATGAAAGAATTTGTCATCACTAAACCAGCCCTACAAGAAATCCTGAGGGGGACTCTCGGAGGGAAATGTTGCAAGGAACACAATATACCAGAGACACCACCACAAGCATGAATCCCACAGAGAACACCATGACTCTAAACCCATATTTTTCAATAATAACACTAAATGTAAATGGACTAAAAGCTTCAATCAAAAGACACAGGGTAGCAGAATGGATAGAAAAACAAAATCCATCTATTTGCTGTCTACAAGAAACTCATTTTAGACCTGAGGACACCTTCAGATTGAAAGTAAGGGGATGCAGAAATATCTGTCATGCTACTGAAAGTCAAAAGAAAGCTGGAGTAACTATACTTATATCAGACAAATTGGACTTTAAAGTAAAGACAGTAACAAGGGAAGACAAAGGGCATAATATAATAATTACAGGGTCTACCTATCAGGAAGATCTAACAATTATAAATGTCTATGGACCGAATATGGAAGCACCTCAATATATAAAACAATCAATCATAAACAGAAACAATCTTATGGACAAGAATGTGCTAATAGCAGGGGACTTTAATACTCCACTTACAGCAATGGACAGATCAACTAGACAAAAAAAAACAAAAAAAAACAAAAAAAAACAAAACAAAACACTAAAGTAACAAAAGACTTGAATGACACATTGGACCAGATGGATTAGACAGATATATTTAGAACTCTACATCCTGAGGCCATTGAATTCACTTTCTTCTCAAGTAGGCATGGCAGAATTCTCCAAGATAGATCACATACTGGGACATAAAGCACCCCTCAATAAACATAAAAGAATTGAGATCATACCATGCACACTTTCAGATCATAATGCTATGAAACTCGAAATCAATCACAGGAAGAAGAAACATGGAGGTTAAAGAACATACTACTAAAGACGAGTAGGCATATCAGGCAATTAGAAAAGAAATTTAAAAACATATGGAAACAAATGAAAATGAGAATACAAAAATCCAAACTCTATGGGATGCGGCAAAGGCAGTCCTAAAAGGAAAGCACACTGCACTCCAGGCCAACTTCAAGAAATTAGAAAGCGCGCAAGTAGAAAATCTAACAGTGCACCTAAAGGAACTAGGAGAGCAACAAGAGCACCCCAAACCCAGTAGGAGAAGAGAAATATTAAAAATCAGCGCAGAAATAAACAATATAGAATCCAAAAAAACAGTTGAACAGATCAATGAAACCAAGAGTGGGTTTTTTGAAGAAATAAACAAAATTGACAAACCTCTAGCCAGGCTTCTCAAAAAGAAAAGAGAGAGCACCCAAACAGACAAAATCATGAATGAAAATGGACTTATCACAACCAACCCCACAGAAATACAAGCAATTATCAGGGAATACTATGAAAAATTATATGCCAACAAATTGGACAACTTAGAAGAAACGGAAGATTCCTAAACACACACTCACTACCAAAATTCACACGGGAAGAGGTAGAAAATCTGAACAGACCCATAACTAGTGAAGAAATTCAATCAGTTATCAAAAATCTCCCAAAAAAGAAGAGCCCTGGACCTGATGGCTTCCCTGGGGAATTCTACCAGACATTTAAAACAGAAATAATACCCATTCTTCTCAAGCTATTGCAAAAAACAGAAATCAAAGGAAAACTTCTGGACTCATTTTATGAAGCCACCATCACTTTGATTCTCAATCCAGACAGAGACACAGCAAAAAAAGAGAACTACAGGCCAATATCCTTGATGAATACCAATGTAAAAATCCTCAACAAGATACTTGCAAATCGAATCCAACGGCACATAAAAAGAATTATCCACCACGATCAAGTGGAATTCATTCCTGGGTTACAGGGCTGGTTCAATGTTCGCAAATCAATCTATGTGATACATCATATTAACAAAAGAAAAGATAAAAATCATATGATCCTGTCGTTAAATGCAGAAAAAGCATTTGACAAAATACAGCATCTCTTCTTAATAAAGGCCCTTGAGAAAGTCAGGACAGAAGGAACCTACCTAAACATCATAAAAGCCATCTATGAGAAGCCCTCAGCTAACATCATCCTCAATGGGGAAAAACTGAGAGCTCTCCCCCTGAGATCAGGAACATGACAGGGATGTCCACTCTCACCACTGTTGTTTAAAATAGTGCGGGAAGTCCTAGCATCAGCCATCAGACAACAAATGGAAATAAAAGGCATCAGAATTGGCAAAGAAGTCGTCAAACTTTCACTTTTTGCAGACGGCATGATACTCTACATAGAAAACCTGACAGACTCCACAAGAAGCCTACTAAAGCTGATCCGTGAACACAGCAAAGATGCAGGGTACAAAATCAATGTACAGAAATCGGTTGCATTTTTATACACCAACAATGAAGCAACAGAAAGAGAAATCAGGAAACTGATCCCATTCACAACTGCACAAAAAAACCATAAAATACCTAGGAATAAACCTAACCAAAGATATAAGAACTATAGAAAACTTATGAAGGAAATTGAAGAAGACATAAAGAAATGGAAAAACATTCCATGCTCATGGATTGGAAGAATAAATATAGTTAAAATGTCATTACTACCCAAAGCAATCTACACATTCAAAGCAATCCTAATCAAAATTTCACCAGCATTCTTCTCAAAACTAGAACAAACTATCCTCAAATTTGTATGGAATCACAAAAGACCCAGAATAGCCAAAGTAATATTGAAGAAGAAAACCAAAATAGGAGGCATCACCATCCCAGACTTTAGCCTCTACTACAAAGCTGTCATCATCAAGACAGTATGGTATTGGCACAAAAACACACACACAGACCAATG